GAGGGTCTGGGGGCGGGGCGGAAGCCGCACTACCGAGAGTTGGGGAAGAGGGAGTCGCGGAGAGGAGGACGAAACCTCGCGAGAATTCGCCTCGTGGTTTTACGATAGGTAAGACGAGATGCTCATTTTCCAAGACATGTGCCTATTGGTCGAGAGCGCGGCTTCCTCCAGACTGGCCCCGCCCGCTGCCGTATTCTTGCTTCCGGCTTCAGCAGAGGCTAGATGTCAGGGTAGCCGCTTCTTGCTTAGCGTTTTGAAGGAGTGTCTTAGCTGACTCCAACCTAAGAAACCGCCAGTAACTGACTTGTTCTTTCATTCATGCATTCATTCAGGCACCCGGGCTCTCATTCAGTGCATATGTTAAGGGATTACAACAACGACAACCGACGTAACCCTAACCCAACCTGGCAGCGTTCTAAGAGTTGTGCACAGGTTCTCTCATTTAACTCTTAGCGGCAATCCTATAGTACAGGTACCGTTTTTATACCAGCCTGAAGGATGAAAAACTGAGGCCGGTGGGTTTATGTAACGTAGCCAAATAGTAAAGAGTCTAAGCACCGGATTTAAGGGCTCACTGTGCTCACTGATAGGTTCCAAAGATGAGGTAACCTTGGTCTCTACCCCTGAAACACACAAGGTCTATTGTGAGAAACGGTTGTTAAAAAGGACAATTTAGTCAGTTAAACATTATGGCAGTTCCTAGCATGACTGAGTAGGCCATCAATAAATATTCAAGACGAAAATTCCTATGTCAGCGGGAAAAGACATCGAAGGAAGAGGGTTTTACGCGGGTAAAAAAGAAAAAAGGAAAAAATTCCAAGCATTGTTCGGGAACATTTTGTAAAAACACATTTTTTAAAGAAATGAAGTTTTTTGTTTGTTTGTTTCCTGAAACTACTGTTGGTTTTCTGTCCTTTGAAAAGCTTCATGTCTATTAATTTGCTAGAGGCTCATTAGTCAAGCAACCTTAACTTTATAATGAGCTAGTTTTACGTTGCCTTTTATTCTTAGAAACGAATAACCTAGAAAGCAGGGTTATATTAAATAAAAATAACACCGGTTCCAAAATAAGGAATGAGCTAATAAAATATGTGTAAGTTATTTGTTTATTAAATCTGGTCTTCAGGAATTACTGAAATATAGACATGGTATATGTCGTGTATTTCCAAGACCTTTTATATAGTTTCATATACCTAAGAATTTGCGGTACTCAGAAACATTTTGCTAGACTTAAAATGAAAACCTACAGTTTGTGTAGAAACAAAAATCCGTAGGGTGTTGTGATCAACCCAAATAAGACTTGCTGCTAATATTGGAAGAGTCGCCGAAAAAAAAGAAAAAAAGGATTAACAATAGAACAATTTTTAAAAAGTAATCAATGTTAGCCTCTTAGTTTCATTTCTTTTTTTAAAAAAAAGGAAATATTGTTTTTTAATACATTAATTTAACATCTGGTATTTGATCATGAAAAATGAATCATATTAAAATAATTTACCATCTCCCCAAACTTTCACAAAAGTTGCCAAGTGATTACAGTATATGTGACAGTACAGTATCCTGTGACTACTCATAGAAGCTCTCTCGATTTGTAAATGGTCAACTTGCACTTTTTGTCTCACTTAAAACAAAGGGGGTGAACCCTCCAGTTTAAGCTGGTCATTTTACAGTCTTTGACAAAGTGTGACATCAACAGGCAGCGATACCGCTTTAAGAAAATTCCAAGGAAAAGGCAACCCCACTTTAAAATTCCCACCTCTGGCTCCCAAGGATTGGGTTGCAAACTTCAGCAAAATACTCTTCTCCACTCCCTATTGGTGAATGTTCTATCATTCATTTTTCTGCCTGGAGTTTTGTCGGTACCCAGTTGCTTTACGGGAAGAGGCTGCTCTAATTTAGTCCGGACCTGCTCTACTTGAGGCTTTTTCATGGTTATCAATTTGTACAAAGAATCACAACACTAAATACAGCGGAAACCAAGACAAATCGGGCTGCCAAGACAACTGTGTAATTCGCTCAAAAGAGAAACGGAGAAACTCTCAGACTGGGTAAACTGACAAAGGATTTTACGACCTAGTTAGACATTTAAGAGTTAAAGAAACTTTTCTGGGTTTTCCATAGTTTTAAAGGAGTAAGTGTCAAAGGAAAACCCGAGAAATGCAGGCACAAGCGAAGGGTGGCAGGAATAAGAGTTTTCAGAGGGAGTAGTTTCTCTTTAGGGTGAGATTGGAAAGCATCATCCCCAGATTATCAGTAGATTTTTGAAAGGTAAAGGAAACAAGATAATAAGATTTATCATAGATTATTTTCTACTTTACGAAACTGTGCTTTGTATTTATTGTTGCTTAAATATGGATTTAGAAGGACACTTAATAGTATTGTAATTTTAAATGTAATGGATATTTTTGTTTGTATGTTATCATACCTGGCATAATAGACAATTCAATTATTAAAAGATATGAGAAAATTAGAATTGGTTTTGGACCCAAATTTTGTGTATATTTGTAGATTAGGAAATCCAGGGATGGATCTGCTAATGACTAAACAAAACATGACAGTGGTATCTGAAGCAGAATCAGCAGGTAATTAATGTAAGGATATGTTCTCAAAAAAGAAATCCAGCATTTATGTTTTCAAAAAATTATACTTTTTATTAAAACTAAAATATGAAAGTTCAGGAAATATTGATAAACAAGAATATTTCTTGAGTGGCCTCTGTTAACCCACATATGGGGATATAAAATAAGAAAATACAGTCTCAAGAAGCTCAGTCTCTAGTTCAAGGACAAGTGAGGCTCAAACACGGCTCAAGCGCTTAAATTAAAACTTCCGGACAGTTCTTGATGCCCAGATGACGGCTATACACCATAGGTGTTTCAGGAGCTCAGATCTGTGTGAACTAAATAATTCAGAGAGGGCTTCACAATATGGATAATTCCCAATTTGGGCCTGAGCAATGGGCAAAATTGCAGTAGAGAGAAAACAAGGGCAGTGGCATCCCAAGGAGTGGGTGACTTGTTAGCAAATGCATGCAGCCTGAAGAAGAGTTGGCTCTGACTGCAGCAGAAGGTTCTTTTGGGAACCTTGGTTTAAAAAACAAACAAAAAAAAAGAATTATGTGAATAGCAAAAATTGCCAGAATTAAGGAGTTTGGTTGGTCCTGGGTTATCTGAGTTATGAACAGAATAGCTTATGAAGGAAATGTTTGAAGACAATAAAACTGTAAAAAAAAAAAAATAAAAATAAAAAACAAACAAACAAAAAGAATTATGTGAATAGCAAAAATTGCCAGAATTAAGGAGTTTGGTTGGTCTTGGGTTATCTGAGTTATGAACAGAATAGCTTATGAAGGAAATGTTTGAAGACAATAAAACTGATTGCTGTTCAAGATGGCTCAAAGGGCAGAGACTGTAAAGCTAAGGGGCTTGGTAACTTAACTTCTCAAGACATTTTATCCAAACACTTTCACTTTACTATTGTTGAGTAACATAAATCTTGGTGCATTGCTTTATAGTCTTCGAAAGCGTTGAGTTCATTTTTTGTTTGGCACTATAAATGTACATTTTATCAGGTGTAGAGTTGGTTGTGGTTTGATTAAAACAGTAAAGGTGATCGTATTGACACTGAATTGGTTCTGTCTCCTTTTCCCTCTGAATTTAAGTGAGTTTTCTCGATTCTGTTTAACTGAATTAAAGGAATTTACACACACACAAAAAAAAACAACCTTATGACACCACGGGAGGCCTTCTTGTTCAGACTGCAGGTTTTCACCTGAGCTGTTTCTCGAGTCCTGGCATACTCAATGAGCTGCTACAACGTACTAGACACTATGCTCAGTGTTGGGAAAGCCAAGGTGAATCAAGGACCATTTCCCCAAAAACAGCAAAGTGCTTCAGTGACACCGAGCTGGGTGTATGTCTCCTGCTTATTTTCTTCCCTTCAACAGAACTTGCTTCAAAGAATCCAGGGCTCCTAACTTGTCAATCAGTGGTTTTTAAATAGGAAGAGGCAGAGAAGGAGGAATCATTGGCTGTGGAAAGGACCCTGAGACAAGGCCCCCTGCTACAGATGGCTGATGTAGCTGACTGCAGTTCTCACTGAATTTTACCCAAGTAGTCCCCCAGATATCCCAGGCCTCTTGAAGTTAGAGGAGCAAATAAAATGTTAACAGAAGTGACCTGTGTCACCTCTGGGTAATGGCGGGGAGAAGCCCTTCCACAGTTTCCTAATCTTTCTCATATTCTGCCATGTCTACCATTTACGTATAGTTAAGCCTTGGTCAGCCTGAGTCTCTTAATGACTCTGTGGATCTGATATTCCTTGCCCCCACTCTCCACCCCTAAACCGAATGGGCCTGGAGCATGAAAGAGTTGATATGTTACCTCATTATAGCCTATCCAGTCCTGACTACCTCAACTGTTAACAGGTTTTCCCCTGGAGATATTGGCTTTTTATTTTTTTAATTTTTTTTATTTTAAGTTTTCTTCAGTTAAGAAAAAAAAAAAAAGCCCCAGTCAACTGAGTTTCAGGTGTCAGGTGGATGAGATGTTTGGAAAGAAAAATCACACTGTAAGGATGATTTAATTGCTCATCCAACTAGCTTTTATTGTTTCTGTTTCCTATTTAGGTACCAGACATTGATACCAAGTAATCCATCTATTTGGAGAGAGCAAGAATAAGATTGGTTTTCAAGATTTGGGGGGCCTCTGACACATTGTCTTGAGGAATCAGGACTGCCCTAACTTATGAAAGTCTTGTAGTCATAAGATGCATGAAAGCCATAATTACACATAAAACTGCATTGTGGTTTCATAGCTATTTTTTAACAGCTTTAGTAAAATATAAGTTACATACCATAAAATTTAATTTTTTAAAGATACAACTCAAAAATTGTTTTACAAAATTTAGAGTTGTGCAACCATCACCACATTCCAATTTTAGAAAATTTCCATCATCCTAAAAAGATGCCTTGTGCCCACTTGCAGGCAACTCCCCATTCCTATCTCCAGCCCCAGACAGTTACTAATAAACTTTCTGTCTCTGTAGATTTACCTTTTCTAGACATTTTGTATAAATGGAATTATACAATATGTGGTCTTTTGCATCTGGCTTTTTTCACGTAGTGTAATGTTTTTGAGGTTTATCCATGTTTTTGTACATATCATTATTTCATTCCTTTTTATTGCCAAATAGTAATTCATTATATAGCAATACCACATTTTGTTTATGACCCATTGACATTTGGATTGCTTTCAGTATTGTATTAATTGTAATTGTATAATAGTATTGAATAGTATATTACAGTAAATACAATATTTAGCTAATATGAATAATGCAGAATGAAGATGAGTAAAAGTTTTTGTGAATATGCATTTTGGTTCTCTTGGGTATGTACCTAGGAGTGTAGGAAAATTGGTGAGTCATATGGTAGCTCTGTGTTTAAGTTTTGAGGAATTGCCCAACTGCTTTCCAAGATGAATTTCCATTTTGCACTTCTACCAATAGTGTATGAGGGTTCCGTGTTCTCCACATCCTCATCAACACTTCTTATTGTCTGTCTTTTTTATTATAGTCATTCTGGTGGGTGTGAAGTAGTGTCTCGTCATAGTTTTGATTTCCATTTTCCTAATGACTAACGATATTGAGCATCTTTTCATCTGCTTGTTGGTCATCTGTGTATCTTCTTTTGTTAAATGTCTATTCAAATATTTTGCCTATTTAATTGGGTTAGTTGTCATTTTATTACTGAGTTGTAAGTGTTCTTTATATGTCCTGGATAAAAGTCCTTTATCAGATGTATGATTTGCAATATTTTGTTTCATTCTGTGGGTTGTCTTTTAACTTTATTGTCTTTCAAAGCAAAGTTTTTTGATTGTGAAGTCCAATTTATCTGTTTTTCAGTTATCATACTTGTGTCTTTGGTGTTCTAAGAAATCTTTGCCTAACCCAGGCTCAGGAAGATTTACCCCTATGTTTGCTAAGAGTTTTATAATTTTAGATATTGCTGTTAGGTCTTTGGTCCATTTGGAATTAATTTGTAATATGGTATGAGATAGAAGTCCAACTTTATACTTTTGCATGTGCCTATTCAGTTGTTCGTCATCATTTATTGAAAAGACTATTCTTTCCCCCATTGAATTATCATGCACCCTTGTCAAAAAGTACTTGACTGTATATTAAGGGTTTATTTATTTTTATTTTTATTTTTATTTTTTTTTTCCTTTTTGTCTTTTTTCATGTCCGGCAACGGATCGCAACCCTCAGTGTCGCGCCCGCACCGGACCGGGACCGGCAACGGGATCGCAACCCTCGGCATCGCTCCCGCACCTCACTCAGCCAGTGAGCGGGAACCGGTCTGTATGTGGGATCCGAACCCTCGGCGGGAGCGCCACCGCACTCCCAAGCGGCGCACTAGCACAGTGCGCCACCGGACCGGCCCTTAAGGGTTTATTTTTGGACACTCAACTCTATCCCATTGTTCTATATGTCAGCCCTTATGCCAGTACCACACTGTTTGGTTGGGGTTTTTTCTCCAGCTTTATGAAGATATGGTTGATGAGTAAAAAACCGTATATATTTAAGGTGTACAATGTAGTATTTTTATATAAGTATACCCACAAGTAATGATTCCCACAATCAAGCTAACTCACAAATTCATCACCTGACATAATTATTATTTTTGTGTGTGGTGAGAACACTTAAGATCTATTCTCTTGGCAAATTTTAATTATATATTATTTTTAACTATAGTTTCCATGCTGTACACTGTATCTCTAGAACTTATTCATCTTATAACTAAAAATGTGTGAGTACAACACTATTTTGATGACTGTTGTTTTATAGTAAGTTTTTAAATTGGGAAGTATGAGTCCTCCAACTTTCTTTTTCTTTTTCAAGATTATTTTATCTATTCTGGGTGTATTCATTTCTATATGAATTTAAAAATCAGTTTGTCAATATCTGCTAAAAAAAAAAGACAGCTGGGATTTTGATAAGAATTGCATTAAATTTATAGATCAATTTGAGGAATATTACTATCTTAATAATA